TTTAATGCATGAGTTATTCAAAATGCTGTTCTCTCTCTTGAATAGCTTTTAGAATATTAATATTTAAATTAACATTTTTAACTTGAATAATTTTTTAGACATAATACTTAAAATATTTTTATTTTAAATATAGCTTTTTAAATATAATGTCTATAAAATAAAAATAAAATAAAAATATTTTAAGTATTATGTCTCAAAAATTGTTCAAGATAAAAATATTATTTTAAATATTAATATCACAGCAGTTCAAGGACAGAATTTCAAATAATTTATATTAATTTATTAATAATTAATTATTAATATTAAAAAATGAGAGTGAATTAGGCCTATTGGAGAAACCACTATAAATAAAATGCACCGTGCTATCTACCGCAAGGTGGTGTGGAAATAATTGTTTTGTCACAAAAAATAACATTTTTCGACCGATATGTGTAAATATACAACTAGTTTTATAACAAAAGTGTCAAGTTATTATTTTAATGAAATTTTGTGCACATAAGTTACGTAAACAGATGAATTTACCAAATATTAGTTGCGATGAAAAAACGCAATAAAAATTTTAAAATTTTCCTTTAAAGTTAAACAATATTTAATTTTTTTTGTTATATCTCGAAAACTATTTGAGATATCAAAAAATGTGTAAAAAAGTTTTACAGTAAAATTATTCATTTACGTTAATCATATTTTTTTAGAATAATTATATTTTTAAAATTTTTTGAAAATTTTTGAAAATAATCATTTAAAAAAATTCTATTAACGTAAATAAATAGAGGTAATTTTACTGTAAAACTTTTGTATAAAACATTTTTTAATATCTTGAATAGTTTTCGAGATACAGCGAAAGAAAAAAAAATTAATTCACACATAAGGGGTGGTTTTATCCCTTTAAACTGTTTTTTAGTACCAACTGATAATTTCTAAATTTATCTATTTATGTGATCTCAAAGTGTACCAAGTTTCATTAAAATCAGAATTTGACACTTCGCGAGGTTCCCTTGTCAGAATAATAAGGAGCAATTGACAATATGTTTAAATCCAAAATACTTATTAACGTATTTATAAACTTATCTGTTTTGGAAGAAATCTATCACTTGCAAGATGAGCTCACCGACGGTCGCAGGAA